CATTGATCTAAGGAGAGAGGTGTCTGAGGTATTTATGACATAGTGGACGTAATTAGTTTCTTTGGACAGTTTTAATGTTTATGGTGGCTCTCTTGTTATACATGTGACGAGGTATGACTCCCCTGGTGAAATTGCAAGTTCAGATTGCTGTATGTCCCACCTTTTTCCATATCATTTGGGATCAATGTTTATTAGACCCCACCAGTTGATTTCCTAATACGTGCTTACTTTTTCCAATGCCTTATACAGTCTTTCTCATCTCCGTATTATCTTTTCTCATTTGTCACAGGGAGGGAAGATTATCCTGCGAAGAAACTAGCGGAAATCAACTCTGATAATACCAGGAGCACTAATTGCTCCAGTCATCTATCTTCACATGATTTGGATCTACACTTCTTGGATGACGTTGATGGTAACACTAGGAGAGACAGTGACGGGACAACAGCATTAGATGATAATATGAAGAGTAGCCTTGTTCAGCAACTCGGATGGACTGAATCCAATATGCTTGTTGATATGACTGGGAATTGTGTCATGTTGCCGTTTCCATTACCAGAAGAAACATTAAATACGTCTTTTTTCCAAGGACAGACATTAAGTGACGAGCTCTTGATGAATTCCGAGAGTGCAATATTTAATATGGTGACCCATCATTCAAAAATTTGTGATCAAGCTCTTGCTAACTCCAGACCTGCTGATTCAGTTGAAATGGACTCCTTTGATCCCATCTTGTTTATTAAGAATTTTCTTGACCTATCTGATCTGGAAGCTAACTCCCTGCCAGCGCTATTGCCTGAAGAAACGATGAGAGGGAAGCACATCACCTTAGTTCTTGATCTGGATGGTAGGTGCACTTTCTTCTCTTTGTGTAGAGTTTCTTCCCATGTTTTGACTTTTGATTGTCGTGTTCCCTCTCGTGTACTGGTTCCATTTATTTTCATCATTGTTTTGAGGAACTTAGGTTTTCCCTTGGATAATCTGATTCTCAATCAACTTCTTGAAGTGATAGTTGGTATTCTTTTAGATAATCTGAATCTTGATAAACTTCCTGTTTGCAGAGAACCGTACATTTGTTTCATACTTTTGCTTTTCTGGAAAATCAGGTTTTGGTTATTATTTGAGGGTTAGACTTCATAAACGATCTTTAAGCACCGAGCACTCCTCTGCGCGTCTAAACTGCTTTATCATCACGTTTATTTGAGAATTTATTCTTTGTTATCTTCTTTTTTGTTCCAAGCTAGACATTCGAAAGTTAACATAAATCTTTGCTGCTTTTTTTAGCATCACTTAAGAGTGTCACTTTCTTCTCAAAGAGAGTGAAGATTACCGATTCTCCATGTAGATAGCTGCATTTTTCGTATGTCTACTTGATAGAGCTTCCAATTTTATTGCTCAAAATATCAGTAACTTATTTTGACGTACATCTGCTGCAACATTACAGAAACTCTTGTCCACTCTACTTTGGAACCGTGCATTGCAGACTTCACGATACAAGTTTCCTTGAACATGGAGCAGCATACTTTTTATGTTCGCCAGAGGCCTTTTCTCAAGACATTCTTGGAAAGGGTGTCGGAGATGTTTGAGATTGTTCTGTTTACAGCCAGTCAGAGATTTTACGCTGAACAGCTACTGGATCACCTGGACCCTGATAGGAAGTTCTTCTCTCGTCGTGAATATCGCGAAACATGTGTACTATCAGATGGTATTTTCACTAAAGATCTGACAGTCTTGGGAGTTGATCTGGCGAAAGTTGCTATAGTTGACAACTCTCCCCAGGTTGGTTTATCCTTCATAGCAACTTTGCCTTGATATGGTGTCTAAACTTTTGATGAGCTTATATAAGTAAAAAAAAATGGAAGAAAGAAAAACCAGCCCTTTATGTTCAATGACCTCGAGAACTCATAGTAGCTGAGGCAGTAGCTGGTTAATTCAAGAATACAGTCGTCCATATCTTTTGTCAATAGCTCCTCTAACTCCGTCCTCTATGCGTTTTAGGTATTCCGGTGGCAAGTGAATAACGGGATCCCGATCATGAGTTGGTTTGACGATCCATTGGACCGTGAGCTGATTTCGCTGCTACCCTTCTTGGAGACTCTGGTTGAGGCGGACGATGTCCGTCCTATCATTGCAAAGAGATTTGGTGGTAAAGAGTAGTTTGTTTGTTGCATACGAGAATCCGGCTAGTCGAAGCAGTAGGTCTGGGGCTCCGAACAAAGGAGGCTTGGAGAATCTTGAGTTTTGACTTATGCTAGTAGCATTGGCTTTTCAGTAATAATTGGCAATTAGACTTTGTGATCAGGTTTTCTCAATATTTCTTCTTTTTTGTTTGGGGGTGGCTCGCGGGGCTGGTTAACTATAGCCATAGTTATAATTTGATTGGAAGTCAGAAGCCTTGTGTAAATTGTAGTTGCTGCTTGTGAGGTTGTCCTAGGTGTATATAATTTTTGACTGGCAGTACTGGTCTCCCAAATTGTATATATTCATCCAAGTTATAGGATTTTATTGTTCTTGATTTACTTCAGTAATAAATATCGATCGTGCATTGTGTTATTATTGCTACTCCTTTCGTCATTCGCTGATAGAAGTGTTGTCCTCTCTCCTATAAAGCATTGCCTGAGTTGCAGAATGACGGAAGGATTTTCTTTTTTCCATTTTTCCTTTTTATGGGTTCCCGGCCATAAAGACATTTCCAATTGAAATATTGATGTAACTAGTGAGGATCTGACTAATCGGAAGAGTTCAGCAACTCCCTTACGGTATATTGATCAAGCAACTTTGACTTTCTTTTGATCCCACTTTCACGATACTGGAATCTTACCACTTGCATTCGCATACAATTTTAGCATAGTACTTTGTCAAGTGTAAACTAACTTGTGTTAGTTTTAAATTATGGGATATATTCACTAGAAGTTCTAAAACTTGCAAAATATGCAATTGAGTCTTAAAATTTATCAAATTGATTCAATCGAGTCATAAAGTTAACACTGTCTAATTTTATTAACGAAAAATATTGATGTTGTTTTATTTTTATTTTGTATATCTTACGTGGCGATGACGTAGCTTTTTTAATCATTATTTTAATATTAATTTTATTTAAATTAAATTTTAAAAATAAGCTAAAATTAAAAAAAAAGGAGAGGAGGAGGACAAGCGGGGAGGGAAGGCTTGCCCTCCCCGCTGCTGTCGCCGCCCCACCATCGCTAGGAGGGGTCGCTGGGATCCACCCAGGGGCTTGTGATCCTTGCTTATGGCAGGCGAGGGCCTGTGGGCCCTCCCTTAGATCGGGTGAGGGTCATCGGCTCTCACCTAGACCTGACTGAGGGTTGCCAGTGGCGACCGACATTGGCGGGGGGTGGCTGCTACTGGCGACCCTCGCCTGATCTGGGGGAGGGCCGTGACCCCTCGCCTAGATCTGGGCAAGGCCCCGCAGGCCCTCGCTCGCCGTCGGATAGGGTGGCCAACCCCTAGCTGGGGCTCAACGACCCTTGCCTACCGTCCCCCCACCCTCCTTGTCCCCTCCTGGCGATGGTGGGGTGGCGGCGGGGAGGGCAAGCCCTCCCTCCCCGCCTGTCCTTCTCCTCTCCTTTTTTTTTAGCTTATTTTTTAAATTTAATTTAAATAAAAGTAGTATTAAAAATCAAATTTGGGCCAAAACGTCGTTTTAGCCATGTTATCACTGCGTAGGAAAGAGAAAATATTAAAATAAGCCACGTCAACATTTTCCGTTAAAAAGTTTGATGGCGTTAATTTTAGGACTCATTTGAATCAATTTGAGTAGTTTTACGACTCGATTGCATCATTTGCAAGTTTTAGGATTCAATTGTATTTTGATAATAAGTTTTAGGACTTCTATTGAACATATTCCTTAAATTATATAATCCCTTCCTTTCCCAACACACAGCTGAGAAAGTCAATTATTTAGTTCATGTATTGGGTTCAACTATAAGAGAGAGAGAGAGAGAGAGAAGCAATTCATGAGGATTGTCCCCACAAACTTATTTGCTCAATATGGTAATCATCTATTACATAAATTCCCTACCACTCCCTGTGGTAAGGGAACTGGGTTGGGTGGGTACATTTAGTTTTAGACTTGAAATTTGACTCCCACATTCCGCAAAAAGGCAAAACAAAAATTTGAAAGTGAGAAGAGAATTAAAGTAAGATAGATCCAAAAAGAAAAGTCGGGAATTCAATTTAGGTGGTTTCATGTCCTAATAAGCTGGACCTCATCACAGCTTCAAATGGTAATGGTAGCATGAAGCAAGAATAATGCCTAATCATTCATGGATCAAGTTCCAGACCTTTCGCTGGAGTGACGCGAGGGAAATAATATATGAGGATCTTAATAATCTTTGGCATTAACAATCCGCACTGTTTGTTGAAAGATTAGATATCAAACACCAATGAATTGGCAATTGGATCGGACCAAGCATAACACCAAGCATAACAACCCGTGAAGGAGAAAAGCTCAACCAAAGAGATCAAGACCTTACTGGCAAGAATGACAGCATACAAATACTTACAAAACTGCTTAAGAATCACAATTCTCACAGAGATACACAGCTCAGAAAATCACAAACAGTACACTGATCCCATTGATACACTAAGGAAGCAAATAAATATGAGCAAAATTTGAAAGGCTCAGACAAATATCAGAAAGCACCTGAAATGCGCGACTTGACGGGCTTCGGTTTAATTTCCATGTTATTAGAAAGCACCTGAAATACGCGACTTGACGGGCTTCGGTTTAATTTCCATGTTATTAGAAAGCACCTGAAATACGCGACTTGACGGGCTTCGGTTTAATTTCTATCTTACTCGGGTAAACCAAAACAACCAACCATGAAGGCATCGTTATATCTACAGAACCTTCACATACAGAGTACGGAAGCAGATGTCAAAATGGGGCTGATGTTGTTCTTCGCAGCTGATACTTTGGCTCGGGAGGGGGTGCACATGGCAACATCTTCTCCAACTCCTGCGAAATTGAAGTACAACCGGTTTAATGACTCATAAAGCAAAATACAATTGACTGAACAACAAAACCATTACAAACACCATGTGCTTGGAATTTTCATAAGAAACAGGTTTCATCGGCTAGTCGATAAGATCTGTCCATGTCATTACTCTACTGTAACTTTCATAAATCCAAGGACAACCATTAATTTTTTTCTGCCTGTCTTCTAGATATTACAGTAATGACATAGATGAAAACTCAAAAAGGAAAGAAATCTTCAAAGCTGGTTTCTCCACTAGAAAATTAATTCAATGAAGATCTCATCGAGTTACTTTTTTCTTTCACTCTGTCTAAATTTTTCTATATAAAGGTACACTGACTCTAAAGTCTAAAAATGCCGGAGCATGCTTAGACAATTTGGGAACCACTTTCCCAAAGCCCCTTGGGTTCTAAAGGCCCTTGGGGAGATGCAATTGTATTTCCAAAGGTCTCTAGCCCAAGGCAGATTCAGAAGTGCTATGAGCTTTGAGCATTTCCAGAATGCAAATACAATTTTTTTTCTTCCAACTTTGACCTCACTAAACTTTCATAATTTCGAAAATGTCCCCACCTCATGTGAGGTCGCTGGCGATGATTCAGGCCGCTGGCGAGGCCAGATTTGGCTCCCGGCAAGCTAGTCTGGCGCCGGCCAGCCTTGCCTAAGATCGGGTGACCTTAGGTGGCGTCGCCTGGGTTACGTGATCTTAGGCCAGGCTAGCTGGCAGCTAGACTGCCAACGGCCGATTTGGCTCGTCAGCGGCTGAGTTCCACCGACAAAGGTTTGAGAATTTAAAAAAAAGACTAGCAAATGTCCTTAACAAAATGTAGTTTTTTCCAAAATAGCATTTAAGTCAAAATTGCTTCCCAGTGTGTTTAAAAATTACACTTTACTAAACACTATTTGCATTTTGGAAAAACCCTTTCCCCAGAAGTGTTCTAAGAACCTCACTTAATCCTCAAACTAGCCCACTTGTGCAAGTTCCTTGCACGTATGATAGCTTAGTGACAGGAACACACAGCCAGAACTACCATTAAACCAACCCCAGGCATCAATCTTTTGAACTTACTAGCCTAGTTCCAACAAATTAAAGAAAAGCGAAGCTTGCTGACCTCATCTTAAAAGACAGGCGACGAAAGTTAAGATCCAAAAAGAATATTGTGAACAAAATGATTACCAATAGAAGCTCTTTTTTTATCTGGAAAGTAAAGGGGATACTCGGAAAAAGTACCAAAGGGTAGCAATCCTGTACCCCACTAAATATGGACAATCTAACAAACCTAACAAAGTGCAAAGCCATCTATTCTCGGTAATATAAACAGATGTTGCAACACCCTCAACTGTTCTGAGGTTTTCTCCAATTATCTATTACCCCATTTATCTCTCCATTTGCAGAAGCACCCACGATACAATTTGCCTGAGCTTAATAGCTATTGCCATGGAAATACTCACCTCCAACTACACCCAAATCCACAGCCTCAAGTACAAAAAGAAAAAAACCACCACATGAGACATGAACTTACACCTTTTCGATTTGCAATTAATACCCTATACATTCATAAAGTGGTAATCCATTATCTAGTCAGCAAATGGAATCCTACAGTAAGAAATGCAATAAACTTCTTTTTCCAGCCTCATGTGAAAGGCAGCATGGGGCCATAACCATATCCAATAGACCAGTTGAGAGCAAAAGCACTAGCCCACTAACAGAATAAGGGCCATGACCTAACACCACAACCAGAACGTTTTCCTCAAAAACTCAAAATTTAAGGATGGGAGTCCGGAATCTATACCAGGCGCAACTCTTACACAAAATGCTCCGAAAATTGGTCAATTAATTCCCCAGCCACCTTCCTAAGCCAACACGCTAGCACATTAACAAGTCTTACGCATGCTACCTCCTGGCTCTCTAATAATTGATAATCATGGCTCCTGCTCTCTCCTAGAATAAGACTGACACAGATTCACACTCCTCGCTCAAAATTATGCAAAAACAACCATAATATCTTCCTCCACAATTTTCAAGTCAGACTGAGAAAATTCAAGTGTGAAGCTATCAATCTCAGACACTCATGGCCAATTCCCCTCTTCTAAAGTTAAGCTCTGGATGAACAAAGATCGTACATATCTCTCAAGTCCTCTTCCTACCCACTCTATCTTGTCTGCATAAACCTAATCTCAACTTAAACTCCTTATGCCACTTAATAATGGCTTTCCCTCGATGAATGTCGTTCATCCAAGTTCAAATCCACAATCACTGTATTACATGTTTGCAATCTCAAGCAGTATGGGAAGTTGTTTTGGTCCTTGTCTCCCTTTGGCAATTATTATGCTACGGACAACATTTGTAACCTCATGCGGGAGGGTGAAAGTTGCTTTGCATTCTTTTGTCCCTCTCTTGCCCATCGAGCCTATGAGTCCATTCATCTTTCCAGTGACATCGTTTTTCAATGCCATCCTATTTGACATTTCACAAAAGGGATACCATCCTTCACCTCCTTTGTGTCAAGAAGACCAACTTCATACAAAAGACTTGTTTCCCTAGTCAAGTTTCCACAGCACTATTGGCCATGCTAAAGCTGGTAAAGCTATAATTTTTTAAGAAATCCATCTTTCTAACAAAATCCAAGAAATCATAGACTTTGTGGCACATTATTCATATCAAGAGGGAGAAGTAAACCCCATCACCAGGAGAAGCACAGGATGATGGCAGCAAGTTGAGATAAGAGCAATAAGCAAAAGTTTATGTAGGTCTTCCTACGAGAGGAGAGTTGACGCTTTTCGAGTGAGGGATACTTCCCGAAATTCAGCAAAAGTGAACTGCTCCTCCCTCGTTTCAACTTTCCTGCATACGAAGAGCCTTCACCATAACTCCACATCTCTCATAAGGAAACAGGACAACATGAGGTCACCGCTCGGAAGTTGGAACCTTAGGGGTTTTCATCAGATGGCCAACCCACAGAGCACCGAAGTTGCATAACAGACCATAAACCAGAAAACAAGTGAGAGGAACAAATACTAGAACACTGTCCTTAAATGAAAGACTGACCTTTCGTTTCCTCAGCCTTTCATTTTCCTCTTCTAGCCGCGAAACTTTGTTCTCCAGTTCACTTGTGTAAGCCTGTTTGGAGTGGCCAATAAAATTAGGGTAAAATTGAAAAAGAGAAACAAGCAGACATTTTAACATTGCAGAAGAACCATTAGATTGAGTCAGCCAAACTTAAACAACCAAAACAAGCCAAAGCTTACCTGCTTCCTCGCTCGTGAACGAGCCGCAGATTCCCGATTTTTTATCATGCGCTTTTGCCTCCTTTCAACACTCTTATCTACTACTTCTTCATGAGTGCCTCTTTTCCTACCACTTGTCTGTGAATCTGACAATGTTCCAATCAATGGTGAAGGTAAAGCAAGCTGGTTATCAGGATATGGAAGGTCCATCATGGAACCAGCTCCCATTTGCAGAGGCTGTGGCATATTCTGAGCTGGCATGTAAATGCCCATTATATTTTGCTGTGGGTGAGCAAACTGAGGTTGTGGGTACTGCATCCACTGTCCTTGAGGAGGAACCTGCGGCGTGATGCTGGGGTCGACCCCGCCAATGTTATCTGTGCTCCTTTTATCCGAAGATGACTCAACGACGACACCTGCTTTTACTAAGAAGTCCTCCAAGGTCATTTCTCCTAAAGTGGGTTGCCGTTCCTTTGATTTATTTTGTCCTCTGTTCTTATTTTGCTGTATATCTCTCCATACCTCATCAACCGTCTTCTTGCTCAATGCACCAGTTAATGAAAGGCTTCCCTGACGGGGAAGAGCAATTTGATTACCCACAGCCATGCCCTCGACATCCATAAACATTGACTGACCGGCCTCAGCTGTCCAGACATTCTTCAAAAGCTCGTCCAGGTTCATGCTGCTCAATGGCTTCCCTAAATCACCTAACTGGTTTTGGACCTCATCAAGTGTGAGGGTGTATATTGAATTCTGCCGAGTCAATGGCTGGACTTCAGTAGATTTTCCATTATCCCTGCCGCCGCCGCCGCCGCCGGCATTACCACCACCGCCACCACCTTGCGAAGCCATTGTTTGAATCCCCATTCAACAGGCTGATCAAGCCTTACCAGGTCAATCCAATATCAGAGTCATAACTCTACCGACAGCAGACCTACAGCCGACAAAACTCAGGTGTGAACCAGGAAACCTGCAAGCTGAGATCAATACCAGTATAAAAAGACTATCAAATGCCAGCACTTCCCAACGAGCACTTGAAACTTAGATCAACATATTCGGAACCCATTTCCGAGAAATGGGCATGCGTGGGAAAGATGAAGAAGCAGATCCCTACTAGAACAGGAATATACAACATGCAACAGCACCTCAACGCATGAAAAATATCATCACTCCCTACTCCAGCCACAGGTGTCTCAAAAACTTAAAGCTGATCGACGAAGGAACATAGAAAAGCTCGGATTTTTCGTCAAGGGACGCATCCAACGACAAGAAAGCCGAAATCAGAAACAACTCTCCCCCGACAGAAACAATCGACTTAAACCCCAAAAAAAAAACAAAGAAACATATTAATCAGTCAAAACAATGCAAAAATGGAAAATTTAAACGCCCCGCCGCCCAAGAGCGCCGGTCCACAGCAAAAGACCTTCACCCAATTTACTAAAAATCGGCGCAGCGCTCGACGTCGAAATTTGGGAAGAGCGACACACGATCGGGGAACAGCTGCATGCAAAGAAATCGCCGCCATTCCGCGCCGAGCGCCACGAGAACCCAGCAATCGAAAACCCGCACCCGTCCGCTCGCACATTCCCGGCAGCGACGGAATCAAAAAACAAGAAGAAAGGAGGGAACAAGAAAAAATTCTCGACGATGGCAAGAAGATCATCAAGAACAGCTCTGCATGCGCGATAATCCAACAACATTGAACCCCGAAATTCCCCCCCGAGAAAAGGGAGATTGCTGCTCCGTTCCGAAGCGCGACGCGATTCGGTCTTCCGAATGCAAATGCAGCGGGCAACACAACGGGAGGAGGAGGAGGAGGAGGAGGAGACGAAGGAACTGCGGAAAGGAACGAAATTTCGGAAATTTGTTCGTAGCTTACTCGCGCAGTGGGGAGTGGGGATCGATCCGCGAGGGGGCAGGGGGAGGAGCTCCGGCGATGGCGGGCGCGAATTGCAGGGAAGGGGGGGGGGGGGGAAATCCTTCATACAGTTATGCAGTCGCAGGTGGCAGAGGACAGTTCGCAGGCGCGAGCACGAGAGAGAGAAAGAGAAGAGGAGAGAGAGAGAGAGAGAGAGAGACGATGAAACAATAAATGCCCCATTAATTTATATTTTCCCGTAAAAACAAGAAGGAAAACAGAGTTTAAAAAAATAAGGGCGGCGGAAAATTGAAAATTCATTTTCAGAAAAAAAAAAAAAAAGGGAACCGGCCGCTTTATTTTTCATTTGCGAAAATGACATAAATAGTCAATGAACTTTGATCACTTATGTAATGTGATTCCTGAACTTTTGATTTGTTCAATATGATCAGTACATCTCCAGTTTAATCCATAAATTATATGAAGACGTTCAATATAATCTTTGAACTTGAATTAATGGAAGAATAATATAGTTCATGGACTAAATTTAACATGTTTCAAAAGTTTATGAATCACATTGAACAAATTGAAAGTTTATAATTGGGTTAAAATTCAGGGATCACATTGAACAAATTAAAAGATTATAAACCACATTGCACATTAGGCCAAAGTTTTAAGATTATTTATGTCGATATCCCTTTTAATTTTCTATCTTCCCCTATATTTTAAGTCAACAAATTATTTATCTAATGTCGCAAAAATTACGAAATTAACAAGAATTAATATCGAGATACTGAAAAAAAAATGTCTAAAATTTATTTTTCTTGAAGGTTGTTAAGAATGCTATTTTGGCCATTGCATTAATTAATCAGCTTTTTCTTTATTTGACTTTTTTTTTTTGAAGTGGTGGGCATTTATTGCAGTTGACAAATGGACTCTCCTGGGATCATTCAACGACCTTCATGTGATATAATTTGGTTATTTTCCGATTACTTAAATGTCCATTTTTTTTTCTTGGGAAAATGACATAAGATGTCACTTAACTTTAACTCAATATGCAATTTAGTCACTAAACTTTTAATTTGTTCAATATAGTCCATGAACTTTAGCCTAATTTTCAATGTGATCCTCGGCCAAAGTTCAGGGACTTGTTTATGTCATTTTTCCTATTTCAACACACTGAACAAATTAAAAGTTCAGGGACCACATTGAACATTAGGCTAAAGTTCATGGACTACATTAAACAAATTAAAATTTTAGGAATCAAATTGCACATTGGACCAAATTTCAAGGACAGTTTATGTCATTTTCCCTTTTTCCTTAAATTTCCGTGCACTTATACTCGCAAACTATTGTACTTGCTATTAAGCATCGAAAGGTGTTCAATTGTTGAACAAGTTTTCAGGAAAATATATATTTAATTCAGGTTTCGTTTGTTTCGCGAAAAATACAAAAAGGCATCGAGTGCCCACAAAGCAAGAAAGAACTTTCAGAGACTATGCATTGTAAAAAACAAAACAAAACTAGAGCGTCTGAATCAACCATTGCCCCCGATTCACAACAACACAAAGGTGATCTATAAAGAAAAGAAGTACAATTGAAAAACACTCGAGTCCCCGGAATATCTATGATCAACACCGATTAAACAGTTAGTTTAGTAGCCCCGAGACAATTTGGTAAACAAATTCTCACATTAACATGGAAAGTAATGAACAGAAAGGAGGATCTTACGAGATTTACGAATCATTCCAAGGCTCTCTGGTTATGGCTCGCATTCGACTGGTTGGAGTACTAGGTGTAGTAAGCAGCACTTGAACCATAATATTAGCGGAAAATGGAGTAAGATTATACGATTCCACGGATCCAACCTAACTTCTGGAACAAGCCATCTAAGGATACATTGTAGCCCTTTTAAGTAGTATTCTTAAGATTCAAGTATAACCAACCATAAGAAAACTACAAAGCCACGAAACCCTTTTGAGTTATCATTCTGTTTAAGTGAATTGACATGCAACATATGTGATAACTGTGCGTATAATTCTCAATGATCTGGAAGTGGATTTGCTATTTAAATCCCGCACAAGAACTCAATGTAACTGTGGAATGTCTTCTTTAGCTCTATCACATTAGCTAATGGCGAAGAACAAGATAATGTCTAGAGAATCTGAGACAAACCAGTTCAATTCTATACTTTAGAGCTTCCTTTCTCGGAACATCAGTCTCTTCAAAAGCGACATTAGAGACTACAAGCCCTGAAAAGAAGCACCAATTGGCATTTGAAGAGGTTACGAGTTAAAACAGATATCGGCAAGACCCCTAAGTTTTCGAAACATGTACATGCAAGACTACTTGAACTGGACATGTCTATCCTCATCTTGGCCAAAAGGAAATAAAAAGAAAAACTGGACATATCTAGTCCCCATCTTGGACAAATGGAAGTAAAAAGGAAAGTTACAGATTTTTCTTTAAGATTTTGCAGATGGTAAAGCTCCGCAAAAAGAGCCACAACGTGCATATGATCAGTGTTCAAGAGAAAAAGCAAAGGGAGAAACCTGCGAATGACCGTGGATCCCTGCATCATTTATGGTAGAATATGAACATCCCACGCTTCAGAATCGGGTTGTAATCCGAGAACAAAGCGATTGGGAAAAACCTATTTGGCTACAGATGCAACCACAGTGTAGAAGATGAACTCCAAAACGGGTTATGACCAAACCTCAAGACAGCTGCATTTTATCCTGGCCTGAGTCAGTTAAATTCTCGCATTTTTCTCTAAAAAGGTACCTTGCTTCAAGGGACAAATGAACCGACACTTTGAATATTCGTCATGAATGACTATGCTTTCAACTTTAAAAGTAAGATTAATCTGATAATAGCAGAGTCAAGTTGCACAAGAACTCAGTGAATACGCCCCAAGACGAAGCACTAGATGAAGTAAATATGAATTGCTTCATCAGAAGATTGAAAGCATTTTATGAGGGGCGTGTTTGAAGTCCCATCGCATTTATAATTTCCACAATCACAAAATAGGAGCAGGAAAGTTGAGCTCTAGCATATCAGATTTGAGTAGAGAAAAATGGGAAAATTGTCCAAATAGTCTTAAATTTATTACACTTTTGTCAATTTAATCCTGCATCGTTTAACTTTACCAATTGAGCTCTAAACCTTTTTATTTCTTGCCAATTGAGTTCATCCGGTCAATTTTGGCTGGAAATGGGTAACGTGGACATCGGCCGTCCTACGTGACACTGTCGGCGCTGACGTGGACAATTTTTAATAATATTTTATTATTTTTTCGATTTTTTTTTCATTTTTTCCTTTTCTTTTCTTTATTTTTTCGCTTCTTCTTCCTCTGGTCGCCGGCCTCCTCCATGGCCGGCGACCGACCGCAGGGGAGAGTCGGTGAGGGTCAACCTCGCCAGCCAAGCGAGGCTCGCCTCCTAGGTGCGACGTCAGCGGGCGAGGTCCCCTCGCCAATTTCTGACAAGGGCCGACCTCGTTGGCCTCAAGCGAGGCTCGCCCTCACCAGATCCGGTGAGTCGGCGAAGGTCGGCCTCACCAGCTTCGATCAAGCCTCGACTGAGGCTAACCTGTGATAGATAGGCCTCGACAAATAGACCTCGATAAATAGAAAGAGCTGCCAAAGCTGGCGAGGCCAGCGAGGTCGGCCCTCACCAAAAATCGGCAACGTCGCACCTGGGAGGCAAGCCTCGCTCGGCTGGTGAGGTCGACCCTTGCCAGAGGCCGACCTCGCCAGCTCTCCCCTGCGGTCGGTCGCTGGCCATGGAGGAGGCCAGCAACTAGAGGAAGAAGAAGCAAAAAAACAAAGAAAAGAAATGGAAAAAATGAAAAAAAAAAATTCGAAAATATAATAAAATATTATTAAAAATTGTCCATGTCAATGCTGACAGTGCCACGTAGAACGGCCAACGTCCACATCACCCATTTCCGGTCAAAATTGATCGGATGGACTCAATTGGCAGGAAGAGAAAAGGTTTAGGATTCAATTGTCAAAGTTGAAAGGTTTAGGACTGAATTGACAAAAGTGCAATAGGTTTAAGACTTTTTGGATAATTTTTCCCAAGCAAATAGGACCTCAAATAGCATGTTAGTCTGACCTCTTTCCGCATCAAAATGATCATGTTGGGCTAGGAATCAAGTGGCTGCAGCTTAAAAGTTGAGATCCATCAGATGAAGAAACCAAAGTTTGAAATTAGCAAAACACAAGATCATCGAACCATCTGCAATAGGATCAGAATACGGGACACTCAGCTCAGTTGTGCAGTGGTCAACAGGTCGAGATTGCCAGTCGGGACATACAGGATAGGTGCCATCTTTTTATGCAAAATGAAAGCAAATTCAAACATTTTCATCATTGAATGCTCAGCTTTTAACAGGAAATCGACTAGCTGGACATTACATTGGGGTGTCAAATTCAAAACTAACCCAAAACTAAATAAATTTCCAATCTGAACGAAAGTACATGAAAATTTGGAGCAATTCGGTTCGAAGTATAAGCCACTGAAGTGAATAACGCACGACGAGTCAAACGACATTAACGTAGCCTCCTTTCTTCATTTTTGCAAATGTCTCGGATATGCCAACCGTTGACGAGGCACTAAGACCAGCCATTGAAGGATACCTTTCGGTACAAACAACGGCTAGTCAACGCAAAGACTGAAGTGGCCGGACAAGTTTCGGCTTTCCTAGCCAAACAAAGCAAGTCGATTTGAGAGCAAACACCGCAACTTTCACTAGCACTGGAACAATGTCTCAAGATTCTGTGACTTCCCTTTCAATCCTGAAAATGAGTTGAGTGAACCCGAAACGCAAAACAAACAAACTGAAATCCTTTAGAATCATATTACAATAGTTTGGTAAACCAACTGACCAATGTTAAATGGATATCCCAAGCAAATACACACAACATGGTCTTCAAGAACAGTGCCATGTCAAGCGATCACTTGCAGAATCAAGTCAGTCCTTGGGAGATTCTCTTGCTGGGTTTGGTCAGAGAGACATGACCTATTGCTCTCAAAGCCTAAGATTAGTTAACCACCCTTCACAATTTTGAGCTGAGAAAATCTGATGTTCCTGGCCTTATTTGAGCAGAGCACTCGGGGTTATAGGAACCCATATTGGAGATGGTGTATGAGAGACTATTCCCATAAATGAACATACTATTGGCAGTAGACTGCAAGGATGGATATTCATATATTTTGCTAATAGCAAAGGCACGAGAGGGAAGAATAAAGCAAGGTTTAAATCTTTTTTTCCCCTTTCTATTTCTAGAATTGAATAGGAACAAAAAACATCTTGTTAAGAGTACCCTAAATTCTTGATAAGTACATTTTAATTTTCAATGTATATTATTCTCAACGAAATGCAATCCATATTTTAGGTTAAACGAAATAAAAAGATATAAACTCGATACTATTGAGAGAGGTATATGTGACTTTCTCTAATTACTTCTCCATCCAATTTCATGCAGATTTTATTCAATGTCAAAAAGATTTTATTTGCCAGCTGAAATTCAAATAAAATTAATTTTCCAAAATCAAAGAACTCAAGAAAAACCTGAATCGAAGACGAGTTCGATTTTTGCCTATTCGAAACGCTGCCGTTGCGTGCTCTCTCTCTCTCTCTCTCTCCGTGCCTGCGAAGCTCACTTTTTGAATTTTTGTCGTGCCATCTTTGCTTTTCTGCAACTCTGAACTGGAAGTAGCGTCGCGAGGCCAGGGCTACATTGGCGATCGACCCGACCATCGAAGGTAGGGTTTCTTGTTTCTTCGTCAAAATCTTCGCTTGTCGTGTGGTCAATTATCTCCTCTCTCTCTCTTTCTCTCTCTCTCTCTCTTTTTCCTCGCGTCTCTACGCCGGGTTGATCGTAAAGTTCGAAACTTTCGGTGCATATCAGTCTTGACTTCATCGCTTTGCGCGATTCCTCTTCGCAATTGACCCCCGCCTCTGCTTGTTTTGCAATGGTTGTGCGTGGCGGCAATACAGAGAAGCGCAATTTCCTTTTTTTTGCCCTTTTCGGGGTTTGGACAATTGGTCTCATAGCCGGGGACGGATGGTATGAGGGCTTTTTGCTGTTTAGCGATGGCCCATTTGAATTCTTGACGAAATTTCTATTTTTTAATTGATGAACTCGTGGACAAGGATTCTGCCTTCTGTTTCTGCTAGTGTGATAGGATGTTGATTCCTGCTATCACTTTCCTAGTCTTTGCAAATACATGATTCCTCTGGCATTATTGGGATTTGGGGTGTGACCATCATAAAGCCTGGATTCATTTTGTAGTTTGAGGCGAAAATGGAGAGGCTTTACGAAGCAGCAGTTGAAGGAGATGTGGATTCTTTGCTCGGTTTGCTCGAAGATGATCCACTGATCCTTGATAAATGTATTATGTGGTCTTACAATGGGAGTCCATTACATATAGCAGCACTACTGGGTCATGAGAGATTCGTTGACGAGATTCTGGATTGAAAACCCGAGCTTGCAGGAGAGGTGGATTCTCAGGAAATATCACCCCTGCACTTTGCGACCGCTAAAGGTTATCTTGGAATAGTGAAGAAATTGTTGACTGTTAATGCGGATATGTGCTATGCTCATGACATATATGGTAGGAACCCTCTTCACATTGCGGTGGTTAAAGACCGAGTGGATGTTCTAAAGGAACTGGTTCGAGAGAGTCCCCATGCAGCACGACAGAAGATGGGACATGGCGAGACTATTCTCCATTTATGCGTGGAGCATTATAAATTGGAAGCTCTGAAGGTTTTGGTGGAGTCAGTTGGAGATCACGAGTTTGTTAATTTGAAGAATGACCATGGCGACACCATATTGCACCTAGCTGCTGCATATAAGCAAACTGAGGTAAGTAAGAAGTGCACAAGTCCTATCTTATAATATAAACCACCTATTATTGTCTTCTCTTTCATATCTCCACGAGGTTGACCTTCTCATTGACTTTTGCAGACTATAAGTTTCTTGGTCACTTGTACCGCAGTAGAAGTGAACTCTCTGAATGCGGACAGTCTCACGGCACATGAACTTTTAGCACGAAGTGGAAAATCTGGAAGGCACATGGACAACATACACAACTTTTTTGAAGCTGGAGGGTCAACTGAAATTGTTCATGCTCTGTCTAGGAGTGAAATGGAATCCATGACAATGGGGGCCTTACCTCCATATGCTAATGATCAGAATATCACATCCCAGTGCAGCGAAAAGGTAGGAAGAAGAATCACAGTAAGCAATATGATTGGCTTGAAAGGAAAAAGAATGCGCTGATGGTTGTAGCATCTGTAATCGCAACAATGGCATTCAAAATTGTTATCAACCCTCCGGGTGGTTTTTGGCAAGACACTACCCAAGGTGACAGCTCGACAAAGCCACACACCGCAGGATATTCCATTATGGCCGACGATGATGCAGTAAATTACTTGAGTTTCTGGTCGATTAACACAGTAGCCTCTCTTGCATCCCTCAGCATCATCCTGATAGTTGTGAGCGGCTTCCCTTTGAGGCGTAGGTTTTTAATGTGGATTCTAGTGATGATCATGGGGATCGCCATCATATCCATAGTGCTCATCTATGCTCACGCATTAAGAGTCTTCATGCTCTTTCACCAAAAGTGTATGCTCAGCAGAATATAATTTGGAATGATCGTGCGGTTTGGCGTGATGATCCTGCTTCTCCTGGGGCTGAGACAACTTTTCTTTCTGGGCTTGGTTGAACCTGTTTCTACAGGGGGCTCTTTTTAATGCATGTTTTCTTAGTTGTGCCTTTCTGGGACAAAAAGCTTGTTGTACATTTAACTTGTTTTTGGCCTGTGGATATTGGTAAAAGTCTATGCTTTTCAATCTTTCATGTTTATTCATTAGTTGCTTCTAGAACATGGTCAAATGGGGAGTTTTCCTCTAAAAAATGGTTGAAAGGGGATGTCTTTGGATGGTTGGAATTATATTCATTCATCTGGCCTGAACTTCAAATTTTTGAGATGTGCATTGTATGCTCGTGTAGTTGCATCGCTATGGTTTCTCCAGATTATTTGTTTACCATAGGTGATAGACTAACATGAGAGGACTAACACGCAAGATGTTTCTTATCGGGTGCTTCTAACAACTTAGAGCAAAGGTTGATTAGAGAAACTTGTTTATAGCTAAGCAAGTGATGGACATCTGTTTCTTCTGCTTTTCAGAAGTTAGCCATGCGAGAATTGCATATGTGGAAAACAAAACTGGATTTGGAATTATAGATGCCTTTGAATGTTGGGATTCGTTGTAATGCAGTCATGAGCGTGCTGAAAGCCAATGATTATTTGGGAGATGCATTTATCTAGGTAAATGTATTGTGGGTAGTTGATTTTCTCTTGTCATGAGCTCCCTTTTGGTTTGATGTTTTCTATAACTGCCTATCCTGTGTGAAGTGTTTTGGTTTTCTAGTGATCTTTTCAGTTTCCTTCCAAAATGTTAACATGCTCTGCTGTTTCCTTTTTGCCTTTTCTTCTCAAGGTATGTAATAAAGACGTCTCAGAGTTTCCCAATTTCGATTTTAATGTCTCCCATCATGGTGATTATGTGGCAATAGCATCAGAACCACTATGCCTTGTGGGGTTGGATATTGTTTTTTGCGCTATTCTGTGGAAAGAAACGGTTACTGAATTCATTCAAAACTTTTCGTCATATTTCTCAAGATTGGAGTGGGATTTCATAATAGATGCGGGCACTGAAGAACAAATTTTGGTTCAATTTTACAGGTAGTGTTGTCTTCTACCTATAATAATCAGGATAACTTATTTAATTGCCCTCTTCCTCTGTGGTTTCAAGGTGTTTACTCGTAATTTCTTGCAATTTGTCACTCAAAATTGGGCCTTGTGCTATTCTTGTGCCTCTAATAGACAATTCAGACAATATAAAATGGAATTGACATGGATGATGGTCTGTGCAACTTATTATTGACAAATAAGAACAGTAAACACTCTATCTTTTTATGGCTCTCCCTTCCCCTTTTAGTGAGGATACACAGTGTCGATTGTATCTTTGAATAATGTGCTTAAAGATGCAGTTGATAGCACGTGCATAGGACATAATTTTTACAACTAGTTGTGTCTAATAGCGAGATTGAATATATTTGTGCCCTATCAGAGATCCAGGATTTGCTGCTAATATTTTTTCAGTGAGCAGAAAATGTCAACTGGTTGTCCAATTATTACCAGTCTGTGTGCTAACTTGGTGTGGAACAACCGATCGAAAAGTGAGTAGTCACTTGCTCTGCTCTTCCTTACTATGAAGGTTACTATCTGTTCTCATAGCCAATACCAGATAAGAGTTGTATGGATGAATTATCCAGTTACTTTTTCACAGCAACACTTTAAGGATGATTGGCTGTAGATGGATAGTGTGTGGGTGACATTGGAGATTGACAGAAATTAGAGGACACCCTTTCTTCTGCTCTTGGCTTCTTTACCTCTCCGTCTGTTGCTGTGCTTGTATCCTTCATGTACTCTATTCCATAGCACTGCTTGCAGCGGTTTTTGTCATGGTCTAGGTGAGCCCTTTTGTCTCTCTATGTAATTAAGGCCTCTCAAATTGCCCCATCACCATTAAGAGAAACCTTTTCCTTTCATCGCTGAGTTAGTGAAGCTTATAGATTGCATAATCAGAAGGAAAATGGCATCGTTTTTAGGTTCACATTTTCCGGAAGTGTTGGATCATTTATAAGTAGACTATATGTATGACCTCAGCATTTGGACTTCAATTATTTGGAGTTTTCAGCCTTTGTCATGGTTGATAAATTGTATGACATCACAAATACTTAGAAGACTGAAGTTATTGCTGAACATTGCGAAACTCATTTATCTGTTGAACTTCCCCTCCATGCGCAAGGCAGTTCGCTGAAAAAAGCTTGAAACATGTGAACCAATAAGATATGTGCAGGTCAAACCCCTAGTCATAAAGAGGGGGCTACGAGGAATGGAACGTGGGGTCTCTTGCTCCCATAACACGATAAGTTGGGTGGGAGTTTAGCTATTAGAGAACTTCTGTGTTCATTGTTACAATGATGACCCCATCCAACTTAAGTCGACCTATTTGGATAACAAACTTCAAGAAGGAATTTGTCAGATATGACTCGAGGAAAGACCCCGGAAATAGAACAAATGAAATATCTATGGTGATCTCTAGACTAGTAACGGTTTCCCTGTGAATGTAGTGATATTAATTTGCAATGCATTTTGCGTGGCATCAGGATTTTCCAACAGCTTCCTTACCGGGTAATAGTGGCTCGTGACTTCTACGGATATTGGTGCTTGAAGGAAGCATATGTCATAGCCATTGGCAGTGGATTGGCATGTGGCCTGGATAGAGTCGAGTTTCGCCACACTGGTTGGACAAACATAAATGTTAAAATTGACGGAACCTTTTCGCCGCACTGGAAGTTTTGACTCCTTGATTTGGGAGAAAAACGCTATGTCCGTCTCTCTCTCTCTCTCTCTCACACACACACACACGGGAGAAAATATTCTGCCATTAGCTAGTATTTGATTCAGTCCCTCAGTTTGATAGAAACTAAGAATATTACCTCTGGAAATGCCAACATCCAAGATTTTCTGCAAACCTTCTGAGTTGCGAGTGTTGTCTTGAAATATCGGATAAGACATTACTTCTTGCTGTGTGTAGATTGATAGAAAGTTGTGTCAATACTCTTTAAAGTCCTGCTTTATGACAATTGTGTTACACTTATCCCTGTGTGCTACTTCTTCTGAATATTCTGGTTAGAATTTTGCGGACACCTCTTGTATTTTAGCGAAATCCGATTGAAACCCCTTGTACTTTAGATGTAGTTCTGTAGCCCATAGCAATTTTTAAAAGTTCGGTGTTAATCGAGTTTCGTTGTAGCAAGAGAGGGTCAATCGGATGTCCCGTAGATCTTTGGTAAAGTATGAGCGCGTACTTTGTACCTTGTCACTCAGAGAGGGTCAATCGAATTTCCCCAACTCGCTACATGTACGGATTAATGAAAACCCAGTATTGACATGGGAGCTAGGATTAGTAGGCCAAGAACATTTAGGTGCGCATGAATACCATTCTGTGCCCCGGCGCTATTTCTGAACAGAAATGATTTTTTTTTATTCTGTGCCCGGAAACAATTTCTGGGTATTTGAAGGCGTTTGATAAACTGTCCAAAATTTCTATTCCTATAGTAGAAAAGAATAGAAATGCGTTTGGTAACTACACAAAATTTCTGTTCCCAAATAATATTTTAATAATATTTTGAATTGTTTAAAAAAAAAAAAATTTTCTACTTTCTTCTTTGGCCATGGCCGGTCGCCGGCGACCGGCCACACCCAGTGGCCGCGAGGGCGTCACGGACCTCGCCGGCCGCCGGCGGAGGCGAGGGTCGCCCTCGCCGGCGAGGGCGAGGGCGGACCCTCGCTCGATCCGGGCGAGGCCGCCTCGCCCGCGGCGAGGGTCCGACCCTCGCCCTCGCCTCGCCCGGCGGCCGGCGAGGGCCGTGACGCCCTCGCCGGCTCAGCCAAGGAAGAACAAAAATAAGAAAAGAAAAAAAACTGATTCTCAAAATTGTGCCGAGAAACAAGAAGCAACTTTTTTTTACTTCTTGTTTCTCTTCCAAAACTGTTTCTCGGCACAAATTTTTGCAAAAATGTGCCGAGGAACAAAAAGTTTACCAAACGCATTTCTGTTCCCAAACTATTTCTGGGAACAAAAGAACAGAAATTTTTACTATTTGGCACGTTACCAAACGGGCCCTTATTTGACCTGTTTAGCATACTCAGGTTCCGATATGCCAAAGCTGACGGCAATAGGTTTAGTTGTTGCCTGTGACAGCAAACACGGCCTCGGCTGATATGTAACTTTCGATCGGCACATCAATCATGAATTGTTGTTTCGTCCTGCTTCGGTAACTAGGAAAAGAAAACATCGACGGATGCATGCCGATGAGCCTAATCTTTCGGTGACTGCGGCAAATCAAAGGGCTTCTAAGGCTCCAGGGTCCAAAAGAATTCAGGGGAGGAGTGATGTGTGGCCTCAAACGACCTGATGAGATTAAAATCCTGAGGATCGATCAAATTCATCACGTCCTGTCCGAAGGAACACATGGTGGCCATATCTTGTGGCCACCATGCGCCATGAACAGCTAAAGAAAGAAGTGGAGGCGGCAGAGAAATTCATCGCATGGAAGGACCACTCTCTGAAAATGAGGACAATCTGCGCAAACCGGGTTGCATTCCTCCGAAGTCGATGACCTGAAGATGAGGTGCGTTTGGTACAGCATTTGGAATGCTACTTTGGGAATGCAAATGCCTTTGGGTGGAAGCCCTTTAGGAAAAATGCAAATGGCGTTTGGTAAAAACTCATTTGCAAAGCTATTTTGACCCAAGTGGTGTTTGGTTAATTTTTTTTACAAATGGGCTTTGAGGGGGTTTTTTTAAAAAAAAGGCAAAAATACCCTTCGCCGGCTCCGGCGAAGGGCTACGGCTCCGGCGAAGGGCTACGGCCGCCGGCGAGCAGATCGCGCCGGCGGCCGTCGCCCGTCGCCGAGCGACCCCGGCGAGGGACGCCGACCTCGGGCGACGAGGCCCGAGGTCGCGCGACCTCGGGCCGACGGCCGCCTGGGTCGCGCGACCCAGGCGGCCGTGCGACCCAGCGGCCGTCGGCTGGGGTCGCGCGACCCTAGGCCGACGGCCGCCCGGGTCGCGCGACCCCAGCGACGGCCGCCCGGGCCGCGCGACCCCAGCCGACGGCCGCCCGAGGTCGCGGACCCAGCGGTCGCCCGACCCCGAGCGGCCGCGCCTGGGCGATCGCCCGACCGGGCGGCCGTCGCTGGGTCGGGCGACCTCGCCGGACCTTCGCCGTCGCCCGG